GCCCTGCTGTGTCATGGCAAGGTGGTTGGAATTGCCAGAAAATGGTTTATCGATTCTCTTCCCGGATGAAGTGGTTCGCTTGCCGGAGAATGAGGAATCCGTAAACCGAGTTTGTGCTTGTTCGAGGCTATATTGGTGGTTTCATCAGGCTCAGAAAAATATTCGTATTGACGAGGAGACCTGGAAGGCCCCGAAAACTCCAAAACCGGTCTTCACTGTTCAAGGAGTTTTGGGGAAGCCGGGATTTGACGACGCCGTTACGGGAATGAGGCGTGTGATCCGTTGTCCACCGGAATTATCAAATGTACAATATCTTACTTGCTTACTCAAGTATGTTCAGGAGGCGGGTGTTCCAGCCCGCAGTCCTAAAACCGGCGGTCGTCTTCCGTCGTCTTGGTCTGGTGATCCTGTGCCCCTTTCGATGCCGTCTGTGCCCGTTTGGATGCCATCTTCAGTGGTTGATGTTGAGAACTCGGTTGATGTTGAGAACTCGGTTGATGTTGAGAACTCGGTTGATGTTGAGAACCCGGTTGATGTTGAGAACCCGGTTGATGTTGAGAACCCGGTTGAGGCCGATAAGTATGTTGGTCCCGATAGATCGGTGGTAAAGGAGATGTCGTCTTTTGTGGCCGAGGTGCTTGGAGACTGTACCACAAGGGAGATAAGCGAGCAATCGGGTGCGATTCTGTCGGGTGCGATTCTGTCGGGTGCCGGAAAGGGGAGTATAGCGAGATTAGGTTTCCAGGATTTTCGTGCTGTGTTGTGTTCTACAAAAAAGTCGGCTGAGCGTAAATGTCGTAACCAGGCGTTGAACCCTTTCGATTCATGTGGATGGCGATGGTTGTGTCTAGTAGGATTAATAAGTGATTATTTGAAGCCAGAATTGGTGAGTGAATTAATTTCAGATAGTGAAAGGTTTGTACCTCGACCAAAACATGTATCACCATTATGGTACTTAGCCTGTCGGATGCAGGCCTGTCTGAGAGTGAGGGATGTCGCTCGGGGATTCAACAAATGGCTAAAAGAACCTCCGGCATGGTGGATATCCAGCAGTGCAATTCCACATGACCATTTCCCTCACACATTTGGCGAGTTACCAATGTCCGAAACATCTGCACGCTTAATTGCCTTCAGCTCCAGAGCTGCACATTGGATTGCCATCGGAATCGGCAGATTACGCCCCTCCTACAGAACATGGTTACCTAGCGTGTATGGTGACATTGTGAATAATTTCCACACCGTCATGGGAGACCGATGGTTCCACGAGATGATCAACTTAGTCAAACCCAAAATCTTCGCCATTGCTCCACCAAAAAAACCAACGCCCGAACTAACAGACCAATTCGTCATGGGAGTCATACTAAAATACTCACGCGTAGATCGAAAGACATGCCGCAAGTTTTGTAAAAGTTGGCATTTTGATTTGCCGTTAAAGAGAGCTGCGAACTCCTCTGAAGATGCACTGCCAAAGAAAAGAGCCAGATAGTCTGTCAGATGATTTTCCCAGGCCATTGTACCAGGTAATACTACTATGTCTTAGCCTACAGTTCGTCGTCTTAGCCTACAGTTCGTCGTCGTAGCCTACAGTTCGTCGTCTTAGCCTACAGTTCGTCGTCTTAGCCTACAGTTCGTCGTCTTAGCCTACAGTTCGTCGTCGTAGCCTACAGTTCGTCGTCTTAGCCTACAGGTTCGTCGTCTTAGCCTACAGTTCGTCGTCGTAGCCTACAGTTCGTCGTCGTAGCCTACAGTTCGTCGTCTTA